CCCCAAAACCCCAAAACCCCAAAACCCCAACTAGAGTAATTCTCGCACAATTTCGAGTTCCATAAATATATTAAAATTGAATTAAGAGTATCATTTATTAATTTAGTATTACTCCTTTTTTGTCAGATGTAATACAAACCCTTGATTTCTTCATAATGTTTATGAGGCTTCAAATTTCCTCTTTCTCCCATCATTTTTGCAAGTTTATCAGCGTATTTTACTGGTGCTGGAATTTTTACTGGGCCGCTAAAATTAAAATACAAATAGCACAACCTATACGTTAACTTTATTATGTCCTCAGCGTTAGAATTGATATTGTCAAATAAAATCGTATAATGACTCGGAGATGCTACTCCTTATTTGCAGGCTTAGCTTATCAGAAAGAAATCATAGGTATTATTTGGAGTGACTGAGTGATCAATTACTGTCCCTGGCTGCGCGTTATCTAATCTACCTCCTCCGTTATCGAGCATAAATCTTGCTTTAACTCTTTTATTTACCATTACAAATATGAACTTAGAAGAATCATTCTGCTTCAATTCCAATAAAGCTTTTTGAATCTGATCTATTTCTTAAGAAATAACAACTTTTTTTTGTGACTCTCCAACTCCATCTCTATAGATAATGATCTGCTGGGGATATACCTTATTATGTAATTTAAAAGCCTCCATTGCTTCAATGAATACCTTGTCAAGACCTTTTACAATTTCATCCATCTCCCCACTCTATTCATAAACTTTAGACCAATATCTATTGGCTTGCTGATTAATAGTAACACATATAGCTAGCAAAGATTTTTATCTCTTTTTATGATGAATATCATAGCCAACGATCATTGTTGGCTTGCGCAAAAATGGCATATCACTTAATGCCCATGGCTCTCCTCCAAGTTTAGCATTAATTTAAATTAAGATTTTATTAACAATTGATCTTATATTTCTCCCTTTACTTAAAGTCGAGGCTAACACAACTTAAGATGGAACAGGTAGTGTTTAAGTCAAAATCTTCTTGATTTAATCATATACCTCACTTTTACCTTTGTTACCAGGTGCAATTATAACTGCAAATTAGACCTCTGGATTGAGTTTTTATCTCAACATACTTTCCCAAGCCTAATAACCTTAGCCTTGTATCTGGATTAGTGCTGGCTTGGAGGCATTATAGTTGAAAGTTTAGACACATGCCAATAACTCTCTAACAAAGATATCTGCTTCTTTCTAATGATATTTTTAGAAAAAAATTCCCCAATTTTTGATTTAAATCTATGAATACATTTCCTATTAGATGTTTCTATCAAAATCCTAAGGTTTGCAATCTACTGAGAAAGCCTTTCTGTTGCCTCCTTGAGACTTACCCATCAGGATTTCTCCTCCTATTATCCTTTATCCTTCTACTTAGTACGGTTAAGGCTCAAAATTGATATTCCATTGATCAATGACTTTTTTTACTTTGGTTTGATTCTAAAACTAATTGATCAGCTCAGTAGCCTCATTAATCCTTGTTCTGGCATCTTTATGCAAAATTTGATTTAAATCTTTCATTAAAGGAAAGTTTGACCTCTGAGAGTCAGTTAATCCTGTCATTTCACAAAGTTCAGGTATCAAAGCGAGCTCAATACCAGTTCTTTCACTTATACTTATTAATAATGGCTAATTTGGTTCATGTATCCTAACTTAATATCTTTGTTAGTAATATTCCCCAAATGTAATTTCCTTCTCTTCTTTCCCCATCAGAAATGTGCTTTAAGGAGTTTTTTCAAAGTCCACTCTATCTATTCTATAGGTTTTCTTTGCCTAGCCATAGCTAGTCACAACTATGGAGTTCTTTATGACATCTTGAATTTAATCATGAGAGCAGTTCCTTGATTCCATGTCTTAAATGGTAGTTAATACTTTGTCCTTTCTTACAACTTTATTTGTTAAATCAAGCAGTAGCAGAGGACCACTTTCCAATTTTTGCATTGCTGAGTAAAACCCAGGCCATACTTCTAGATTATGATTGGATAAAAACTTCGCAGCTCCAGGATTAAAGCAATTCCTGCCAATTCTTTCAAAGTTAATATATTTCATTAAGTTTTTAAAGAATATTGAGTAGAATGTAAATAACTCAATGTCATTTTAATCTATTGATTTTGACCAAACTATCTTTAAGTCATAGTCAATATCATCATAAGAAGTTTTTAAGTTTAAGTCATCTTTGATTTCTTTGTGAGCATATATATTCCCACTATAAGTGATATAGAAATTAAATCTCTCTTTCAATTAAGTTTTAACCTAGTTTACAACTTAATTTTTCAATTTGCTATTAGCAGGAATCTCTGGATTATAAATTATTGAGTATTTTTAAATGGCTTTAACTTCTTTATTTATCTTTAATCTGTAGGAATTTGTAAATAACCTTATTGTTTAATTATTTTTGAAAATTGCTCTTTGAGGACGTTTTGGAAAAACGACTAATTAATTATCGCTGGAACGATTGCTATCTGTTGGACTTGATGAATGCATTACTCAAAATAAATTAATCTATTTTTAAGCTGATTAAATTAACTATTTTAGTCTCAAATAAAATATCTTTTATGACTCAAGGGGTTTTGGGGTTTTGGGGTTTTGGGG